GCCTGGAGATGCTTGATCCCAGTTACATGATGCAAGTATGTTGGGGTATAGCTCATGGTTTTGAACATAATCAACCTATACAGTAAAACTGATACATTCACAAGGCCAAGTAGAATTTATTTCTTCAATGTGGTGATGATTCAGTATTAGAAAAATTACCAACCAAAACTTTAGTGTAAATCTATTATAAAATTCATCAGTCAATTTTAAAAGCTCAAGTAAATTAAAGGTAGAGAAAGCTTAAATTTAATGAGCATCATGTTAGTGATAACTTGCTAGAAGTAGATGGGAGACTGGAGGGGAAAAAGGAAGGGGAAAATTATGTGATTTTATTATAATCTCAGAAATTTTAAAAATCAGATGCAATTCAGAAAAACCCCAAACTTATTCTGAAGAGCCTTTTAGAAAAGCAATAAGATTAAACAATAAGCAATTAAAATATTACAAAATAAGAAGAAAGCATATATTACATTAAATGCAGAACACCCAAAACATGACTTGCAGAATGAAATGAGATAAACATTAATGTATAAAATAACACATATTTATTAGATTAGAAATAACCTGAATATCAGACCCAAGGTCACTTCATTTTTTACAAAGGAACCAAACTATATAATGGAAAAAAGACAGCATCTTCAACAAATGGTGCTGGTCTAACTGGATGTCTACATGGAGAAAATTCAAATAGATCCATATTTCTCTCTCTGCACAAATCTCAAATCCAAGTGGATCAAAGACCTCAATATAACACCATATACACTAAGCCTATTAGAAGGGAAAGTAGGGAATAGCTTCAAACTCATTGGCACAGGAGACAACTTCCTGAACAGAACACCAACAGCACAGGCTCTAAGATCAACAATTAATAAATGGGACCTCATGAAACTGAGAAGCTTCTGTAAGGCAAAGGACACTATCTGTAGAACAAAACGACAGTCTACAGATTGGGAAGAGATCATCACCAACCCTGCATCAGACAAAGGGCTAATAATCAAAATATATATTGAACTCAAGAAATCAAACACCAATAAAGAAAATAACCTAACTGAAAAATGAGACACAGAACTAAACAGAAAATTCTCAACAGGGGAATCTTGAATGAATGAAAAGCCCTTAAAGAAATGCTCAACCGCCTTAGTCTTCGAAGAAATGCAGATCAAAATGACTCTGACCCACCCACAAAAACTACAACCCAAAATTTATCCTGCCTAAAGATGTGTAGGAATAAAGATAGAGCAGAGAGCAGAGATTGAGGGAATGCCCAACCAATGCCTGGTCCAACTAAAGACCCACCCTGTGGGAGAGTGCTAACCCCTGACACTATGAACAATGCTTTGCTGAACATGCAGATAGGAGCCTGTCAGAGTTGTCCTCTGAGAGGGTCTATCCAGCAGCACCTCAAAACAGATGCAGAGACTCACAGTCAAGCATTGGGTGATGCTTAGGTAGTCCTGTAGAAAAGTCAGAGAGAAGAGGAAAGGACCTAGAGGTGACATGAGCTCCATGAGAAAACCAACAGAGCCGATTACCCTGCTGAGACTGAAGACTCAACCAAGGACCATGCATGAACTGGACCTACATCCCTTACAAAGATATAGTAGATGGTCAGCTTAGGCCTCATGTGGACCCTCTAGCAAGGGAAGTAGGGACTGAATTAGACATGGACATAGTTGCCAACTTTTTGATCACTTTCCCCTGGATGGACTGCTCTGATGGGCCACAGGGGAAGAGGACATGCTCAGTCCTGATGCAAACTGATGAGCTGGGCTGGATGGGAAAGGAAACTGCTTTTTTGAGGAAAAGCGAAAAGGGAAGGGGAGTAAGAAAGGGTGGAACTGGGAGGGGAGGAAGGATGGGGCTACAACAAGGATATAAAGTGAATAAAGAAAAAATAAAATAAAAAAAATAGATCAGTGATTTTTTTGAGCATTTGCAATGTTATTTAACTACCACCTTTGCCCTGTTTGATAATATTGTTATCATCCTTGAAAATAAAAAAGGAATAACCTGCTCAAAATGGAAACTGAAAAGCAACCATTCCATTTACCACAGAGGCCAAAAAACAAAAAACAAACCCACCAAAATCCTGCAAACATTCAAGACTAAAATTAGTTATATTGCGATAAGATTTATATGAAGAAAATAATAATACTGCATTATTAAAGGTCACAAATCAGGACCTAAAAGAACTACAAAGTTATATTTCCCTAGGGAATGTGTAACACATGGAATTATAAACATTTCTCATATTGGTGTAGAAGTTCAACGCAGGTTGAATCATGATACCAGGCTTCTGTTTCACATGTAAGAACTAATAACCTCCACTATTTTTGTGATTACTGTTTGCCAGGTGCTATTTTTAACATGGTGTGTGTGCTAAAGCTCACAATGTATTGTTATTAACTCAGCCTTGTTACGTAAGTAAGAAAGCGGAAGTAAAGGCAAGTTAAATAACTGCTGTAAGTATAATAGAAGGAGGAGGTTGTGCGGTCACTTGGCCCAGCTAAACCAGGAAGAATAAAAATGCAATGATAATTAAGAAACGTTTAGGAAACAAAAGTGAAGGTAGCTGCACACCCTAACAAGTACTGGAATTCAAGGTATTTTAAGCAACTGTCTTGGGATGAACAAGGCAGTAAACCTTAGCGGGGTCTCACATGGAGAGCCAAGTGTACTTGGGAACTTACTACATTATAAAGGGAATCAGCCAGCACTGGCTGCCAACCATGCTCCAGTGCATGGCTCTACATCCAAGAGTACATGGGCAGCACAAATTGTACTTAGTGGATTATTTTTTTAAAAGACATGGAAACGGGAGGGATGGGGAGGGAAAGAGTGGATCTGGAATGAGTAGGGGTGCATGTGATCAAAGTGTATTGTATAAAATTCTCAAAGAGTTGATAAATCTTTTTTAAGAGTTTCCACTTCAATATTTAAATCTTATTTTGATAGTTTAAAGAACTACATAAAAATAAAAATTGTAAGAATATTTTAAACTATGAAAATATTTATCATGATGTATTTAAAAATCAAGAAAGTGGGAAATGTAGAAATACAGAGACAATAAAACAGCTTTAACGGTTCAATAGTTTAATAATCACAAACACCATGTACAAAGAGACAAAGCATAAAAATTTCAGTTATTAGAGGAATAAGTATAACTATCCAGGATGTAGAAAGCATGGCCATGTAGCTTGACAGTAATGCTGAATTGTACATTTAAAACTTTATTAAACGTTCTTACCACAAAACAAAATATATGAAAGGATAAGAAGATGGGTAAGAGCTGTACTGACTGACTTTACTGCAATAGTACATGAATATCAAATCATTCTATGTATGCCATCAAACAATAGGGCTTTCCTTATTAAATACACATCAATACAGCCAGAAGGAGTAGGAAGGAGAACAGAAGAGGAAGGGATAAAGAGAGAAGGGAGGGAAGAAGGGACAGAGAAGAGGGGCAGGAGATGAGGGAGGGAGAAAGAGAGATTTATTGGTCAGAAAAGTACTTGTGATATTTTTTACAATAATGGTGAATAATAGAAAATTATACTAACATTGTTCAATCTGAAAACTACGCTTGACAAGTGTGTGTGTCAATATGTGTCTTCATGTGCGTCTGAGTAAGGATTTGAGGAATAAGAAAGTTTATATCCCAAACGGTTGAAACAGGTCATCAAAGAAGGGCGAGAACTGTGTTCAGATCTTATTTTTCACTTGTCTGTTGTTTGCAGACTTGGTTTGCATTAGTGCTAGTAGGAATTAAAAGGAAAAGGCAGTTGGGAGATGTGATGTAGAAGAACTGTGAGATTTAGCAGCTATTTGGGTGTGAGTAGGAGGCAAATGAAAAAGTCAAAGACGGCTCAAAATTCCATCCTGGGGGCCTGGGGATTGCAGCTACCGTTTATGGAGGCAAGAATATTATGGGGAACAGAATGAATTCTTTTCATTGTTACCAGAGGAGAGATGATGAGTTCAGGTGCCAATCAAAGCAACAGTGCTTCTTGCTTTAAGTGATAATAGCTCCGAAAGGAAAGCTTTTTACCGGATTGTAAAACCTCAAACAAAGTACTGATTCCATTAAAGGGTGACTTTGCAGTCTGTGAATTATAGCTCAGTAAAGTTTTCTTGATGCTGCTTTATAATTGCCCTTCCCGAGTATTGTGGTACTGGGAGCCAGATTTCTCACTACTGTGCTTTCTTACCCATGCAAGTTTAAAGTTAAAAACATCCCTTCTTAGCCAGAAAAGAAATGAGACTCTTAAATAATCTCAAACCTGGGAAGAAAGTAAGTTCTGCTGCATAAAAGCTAGCTGAAACTATAAAATATGAACTGCACAATTCTTATTAAGTGTTGTTGTTTAAAATATTCCATTAGCCAGCACTGCTGAATCTCTAGATCTATAAATAGCATCCGCACTTTGATTCCAAAGAAAGAAGCATTAGAAATTGAGCCTCATTGAGCTATTTCTTGTACATATTGTCAAAATGCTGGGAGAATTTATTTCTATGTAATTATATCATACTTTACGTTGGGCCTGGAATTGAAGTGTATCATCCATCAGCAGGCGATTGTTTGCATAAATGAATGAGTCAATACAGTCACCTGAATAAATCCTTTTTTAATTTTCATTTATGAATAAGCCAACTTCTTTTTCACATTTTTATTTTCCATTCATCATTCATTGTATTTTTTACTTCACATACTATTTCTATGTTAATTTTTCTTAAATGAATTATATCATCTTCCATAGGCAGCATTTTTCATACTGAAACTGCTAGCTGTAAACAGCTAAAATAGAACATTTATGTCACTGTCATGAATTTGAATCTAAAGACTTTCATGAATTTGAAATCCTTTAGAGGACTGTGTGTGATAGGATTGATTTCATTGGCTAGTTCCATCATTTGCTTAAAACTGCATATAGCCCTCCACTGGAGAAATTAAAACAAAGAAAATAATCTTAGTACTTTTTATATTTCTTATTTTCCAGAAAATAAATACAGGTGGAACCAGTAATGCAGATATCCCTTTGGCTGATCCCGGAATGTACCAGTTGGACATCACACTAAGAAAGGGTCAAAGTTTAGCTGCCCGTGATCGAGGAGGTAAAAATTCAAGAACAGTGTCGCTCCAAGCTTGCTCTATGTGCTTGTGACAGATTTTGTTTTCTATATGACTGCCTAAGTTTTAGAAACTTAACTGTACCACAGTTTTCAGAAGTTTGGATTCAGACCCACACTTTAATAGGTACTTGACTCTTCTGGCATGGAGAATGCTGCTTCCACAGTTCTGACCCAGTTGGTGAGGTTCCCACCAAATCTTATCCCTATAAATCCCACAGGCCTGGGAGCAGTGACAGGTGAGCATACAGTCACATATTAAGGTATACAGGTACATAGGTGAGCTCACCTTCAAATAGGTGTGCTATACTTGGAAATAAGTGAGTAACATTCACATAGGTGAGACCTGAGTGTGCATTTACAAAGGAGATCCATGCATTAGGTAAGGCATACCTTTACAGAATTGAGCACCCACACCTGGCTGAGCATACATTTATGCATAGGTGAGCATAAATTTATATGGCTGAGACACATTTTTACATAAAATGGATACTTTTACATATACGAGTATACATTTACATAGATGAGGCATTTACATTAGTGAAACATATATTAACATGAGTGAGGTTAGAATCATTTACGTGGACAAGAGATATGTTTACATGCGTGAGGTGTACTTTTACACAGATGAAACGTAGATTTATGTAAGTGAGTTTACACTACATAGGTGATACGTACATTCGTTTAGGTGATCATTTATTTACACAAATGAGGCATAAGCTAGACATATATTTACATAGATGAGCATGCAGGTACATAGACGAGGCATACAATTACATAGGTGAGCTTATGTTTACGTTGGAGCTGTGTCAGAAGTGAGCTTCTGTTAGAACAGGTCCTTTGTTAGATGGAGTTGTTCAATCTGCTGACATTGTGAGATCTGAAACATTTTCTTAAAACGTGGAGACCCTTAATCAGCAGCTGTCTGAAGCTTGGTTGAATGTCTACTTTCTGGTGGAGTATACAGAAATCTGTAGGCAGCCAGTACTTTCTAGTTTTCAAATTCCAAATTCCTAGGCAATCTCTTTATGAGTTAGTCTGGGGCACACACGACTAGACCCAGGGTAAAAGCAGAATCATGGAAACAGCCCTACTAGACTGGGAGCAGCCTGAGGGAATGCCCTTCGAGCAGGAGTTGCAACGCAGGAGATCTGCACCCCCTCCAGAAGAAAACTTGAGTGCCATACCTCCATCAGCAGGAAGGACAGACACCCCTGATGGCCTGATGCCTTTGCCTCTGCACCTTGGTGGGTAGCCACTCTGGGGAAGGCAAAGAAACGAGGTTAGGAATGCAGGCTCTCATTGCTATCCCTGTCTCTAAGTGGGAAATTATTTAATGTAATAATGAATTTTCACAGACATCATAAAGACAGGTTCAGTTTTAAGTGCAAACTAGTAAATATCATAACATTCTTAATGAATGGACAGTGAGAAAAGTGTTAAAATTTAAGTAGATAGCAGAAGCTTTTCAGAATTAAATATCTGCTTTCAGAAGCTAAAGAGAAATGTTTATTGAGTCAGACTATCTCAGAATTTGAACACGGGATAGAGAAAGAAACTAAGGCAAATAACATACGGTTAGCATCATTTAACAGGACATTTTTATTATTCAGAGTAATCTCAAATTAAATTGAGTCATTTGATCCACAATAGAATTAAACCAGGAAACAATACCAAACTTGTAATCCCAGGTCTGTTCCCAACACTGTTAAACACGTAAACACACGGCTACTTATTGCAGCATTCTTTATAGGTATATAATTGTCAAAGCAACATAAAACCTATAAATAAGTGAACAGGTGAAGAAATTATAGATCATCCACACAAGAAGATAGCCTGTAATTGTGTGAGACAGACAGAATACAGAGAGAGAGAGAGAGAGAGAGAGAGAGAGAGAGAGAGAAATGTCTAAAAGTCAATATGGAAATTTTTACAAGATAATTAAGTTCATGTAACCAAAGTTCAAAAAGGTGTCAGTAGAATATAATATTTCTTGTGAGAAATTATCTATAACAAATCAGGCATAGTCTGCTAATCTGTGCAAAAGAAATACAGAAAGAAAAAGTCAGACACTAATGAGATTGGTAAAGTTCCCACTATAGGTGAGGACAGGTGGCAAGAATAGGGACAGGAGAGAATAGGGAAAGAGAACGTAACTTTTTCCAAGTAAATTCTTCTTCTAATATAGTTCTTCCTAGACTGCAAACCAAAAGATCGCGGTGCCGTGTACTATGCAGAATATTATACTTTAGAGCATGACTGTCAGTTTTGAAAGTGCTTAATAAATATGCTAAGAGCTAGCTAGCAAACAAGTAACTATACTGTAGACATGGAGATCGGAATCTCTCCCTGTTGGAAAAAAGATGTATAAATATAGAAAAGGTGAAAAAGTTAGAATAAATCCTGAGGTGACACGGACATGTTTGAATTGTTATCTGTGTGTTGAGATGTATAGAAATACAAATGGATAAACATGTAGGTGTGTGTGTGTGTGTGCGTGCATGTGTGTGTGTGTGTGTTGAACCAGTCTGCTAAGAGAGACTAGAAGCAATGTCAGATGTAATAACAAAAAAGAGTAATTAACACACCAAGGGTCCAAATCTTTGTTTCTAAATACAAATTTTTTAATGCAATTGATCAGGACTTTTTGAGAAATGATTGATTACAGATCTGGATAGGAAAAGTACAAAATGAGCTTGGAACATTTTGCATTGACAAAAAGTAAAGGCATACTCAAAAAAAAAAAATGCTAGTAAAATGTCAAAACTCAGGACTATTTCAAAGAACCCAGAGCTGACTACAAGTGAGATGATTTCAGCGAGAGTGCTAACGATGGTGATGCTGTATGAACACAGGGTCAAACGTATCTACCATAGCAGTAATTCAGTAAGTCAGTAAGTGAGCGGGATGGAGGGGAAGACGGCGTTTCGTGTGGAAGAATTTTGGTGCACACATGTAGAATGAAAGATGCAAATAGTAAGCCACCACTTAAGGACCCCACTGTCCCAGCAACCCCTGGCACAAACTATCAGTGGATACTAAAATTGTATGTGAAAAATTATGATGTGACGCAGAATATCTGGAGCATTTCAAAGCACAGCTGTGGAAGAGACTGTTTTTGTCCAAGTTACAGTTGACAGGTAGCTACCGTTAGGAGCACTGAGATGTGCAGACAGCACTTGCTTCAGATAACGAGCACCAATAAATGCACACCATGGCTGTGGGCACGTGTGTCAAAAGGCTCAACATACTTAAAAATGAATAATCTTGGCAAACTCTGCCATCACAGAATGCCATCTGCTTGACCATAGTGGCCCCTACCCTGAAGATACTGTGTAAGCTTTCTCCTGGCCCTCTTTTTCAGAATTGTTAACATATATTCATTGCACAGAATGATGGATTTTCTTATTATATTTTCAAATGTCTATCATGTGAACTAGTATTCGCCCATTGCCCTGTGTTAAGTAGCATATAAAATATACTAAATACACACTTAAATCTAGATTCTCTTGTCCTACCACATGGTTTCACCACAGTTCCCAGTCTGGATTTCATGAGTACATAGTACTGTCTTTTTTACAGTAGCAAATAATTCTCAGAGAGAAGCATGAAACAAGTTTCAGGATGATGGGAGTGCTATGTATTTAAGGAAATGTTACTTAGCTGAGCCATCTCTCCAGCCCCAAAGGCAAGTTTGTGTTTGTTTGTTTGTTTGTTTGTTTGTTTGTTTTGCTTTGTCTTTTAGGGAAAAGAAAAGCGTGAGTTAAGTTTATAAATGGCAGTCTTGATAACATGATTTGACATTTGAATAGGTAGTGTCAAGTTACATTGGGTACGTAATAAATATAATGCTGCAGTTAATTGGTAGGACAACTAAATGGAAGTGGAAAACTCAAAGTGAGAGGGCAGCTTTCCACCAAAGTTATGGAGGATTATGGCTTTGATTTACTACTTGGACATAGATAGATAGATAGATAGATAGATAGATAGATAGATAGATAGATAGATA